AGGGGGAGTAGTATTGCCTTGTGGAACAGAGCTTTTCACCTTTGCTGCCCCCCGGACTTTAAATTTTTGGACGACAAACCCCTCTGTTTCTTTTTGTGAGGAAATTATGGGATCCTGGGACCGATTTTTCCCTGTTATTCCTTTAGCGCGCATTTTGTGCGCTAATACGCCTTGGTCACACTTGTCAAAGGGGTTTTTGGGCAAAGTCTTTTTATATTACATCTGCATTCTTTTTGTTTTCTGGCTTTTAGGACCTTGCGTAGTGTCCGTAGTTGAGACAGACCGGAGCAAACCTGTTCTAAACCCATGTTGCCCTGGGTTGGTAAAAGATGGGTTTCTAGATGGGTTTGATCTTGCTTTTTAGGACCCTTTTTAAAAAATTTTTAAAGTTTTGGGGAGGGTTTGTTTTCTATTGGTCTGTAGTTCTTTGTGTTGCTTTACTGCCCCCCTTTTGGGGGGAGTGGGGCTATGTCTGTTGTTTTTAGTAAAAAGGGGGGACGACCCCCCTGTCCTGCTCCCTCTCCATAGGATTTGGAAAAAAGGGTCGGAAGGGGCTTCTTTTCAGTTCTTGATTTTAACACAAGTTCCATGGGGTCTGGCCCCGGGGGGGAGTGAAAGGGCAGTTTATTTATTTGCCCGGTTTAAGTCATTTGGCGTCGGGGGAAAAATCGGATAGGCTTGTTGGGGGAAACAAAATTTTTGGTTTTCCCTCATAAAAAATTCGTTTTGAACTTCGACTCTCAGTCTGGTTTTGCGGCTTGCCCCAAAACTGAGTCATATTTGGGGCTTTAGTGCTCACCCCATTTCCCTTTTGTCATCTGTGTGGACCCCTCTTTTTTAAGTAGGGGGGCCCCCCCTATGGGGGCGTTTTTCTCGATTTTTTTTGGGATAGGAGAAGAAATTCTTTGGGTTTTTTTTTTCGATTTTTAATTTTTTGGCTTTTAGTTCTTCCCCCCCCCGGGGGGGTTCCTGATCCTAAAGGATTTTTTAGCTTAAGTTTTGTTGCTTGCTATTTTCTGGGCCATGGGCTCCCCGGCATTTCAGATATATTGACCTCTTTAAACCCTTTTTTTATTTTTCGTCGCCTTAAAGGGAAACGGCCCCGTTCCCCTTTTTATTTTTCTTATCCTCCCTTTTTTAGAGGAAAAACCTTTTGCCCTACATCGAGTCCAAGATTTAATCTTTCTAGGCATAAGGTTGGGGGGCTGTGTTTTAGTATATCTTCCCAGTTATATCGGGTTTGGGCTTTGGGTTTTTCTTGGGGGCCCAAATTTATGTTTTTGTTATTGAAGTTGAATTTTTGGGGGAAAGCTCCCTCGTGACTAGGGCTCAAATTTTGGCGGTCTGGGGCTCCACGATACATGCTGAACCTCAATTATTTGTGTCCGAGTATTTTTTTTTTGGGTATGGGAAAATTTTTTTATCAATATCATTGGTTTTTGTGAAGATGGGTCTAGGGGTAAATTTTCCCCGTCTAGTGGCTCTTTTTATTTTTCTGGGTTTAAAAATTTAATTTTGTGCAGAGATTTAAAAAACTCGGGTGAGGGGTGGGGTTTTCATCGAGCTGCCTCCTGGGGGGTTTTTTAAATGCAAAATATATTTTTTGCTAATTCCCCATTTTTGGTGCCTTAATTTAAGTCCCCCCCGGGCAAGAAAGTTTTGGGGGGCAGGAGCGGAAGATTTTTTTCCCGACAGTGGTTCAATTTTTAACAGTGTTCCTGGAATTTGGGTGGGATGTTGATCCGGGCTTGTAGACTACCCAATGACTAGGGTTTTTGGTTTTCGACCTTTACTGCCCAAAACTTCCACTACATCATTTTGAAGCATTAAGGGAGTTTGTGCAAACAAAATGCTCTTTCCAAAGTACAGGCCAAAACCCCCCCCCTTTTGCCTGTTCACTCTGTCACATCTGTATAGGTTTTAACCCCGGGATCCTATTTCCCTTGTGCAAGTATCCTTTATTGGGTTTTCAGTGAAAGCCGGAACATTGCCTTTGCCTCGCAAGCAGTCCACGGATGAAAGGTATTTTGTTTTTGTTTTCTGGGGTTTAGAAACCCCCCCGTATATTTTCAAAGAAGAATGTTTTCGGATTTGGGGTATTGTTTGGGGGTGGGGGGGGGAAATTTTTTTTTTCCGGGTTAAATATCTGTTTGTTGGTTTTGGGAGGGGGAGGCCAAACCCACTGTTTGGGTTTCCCCCCCAGGAATGACGGGTTTTGGGTGTACGAATTTTTTTTCCATTTCCTGCCCGTTTTTTTTCCTTCCCTTGGGACTAAAAAACCCTCCCCCCTCTTGAGTGGGTGTGGGTACCCCCCCTTTTTCCCTGGCCCCGGTGTTTTTTTATCTTTTTGTCCCCCCCTTTTGAGGAGGGTGGCAATTTTTAAAAATTAAAACAAAAGTCCTTTTCCTGTACTGAAGAGGTAACCCTTTCAGGGGGAAAAAGCTTACAGGAAGGTAGTTTGCATTTTCCCCGTTTTTCATATGGGGGATGGGATTTTCTTGGGTGGTCTTTTTTTCATTTTCTCAAAACTGTTTTTTTTTAGAATTTTCCCAGCCCGCAGATTTCCAAGTTATATATGTGCAAAGGCTTTGGTTTTTCCCCTTGCCTTTGGGGGGTTTTGTGACTGGGATTCCCTGTTTTGGGGCATTTTTTCCCTGTTTACTTCTATCCCCCCTAGCACCAACAATGGGAAACTCCCCCAGTTGTTTTTGGGGGAATTTTAAACCTCACTATTGCTAGGAGTCCTCTTGTTTGCTATTTTCCTGCGGTTTTTTCTAGTTTTTCAATATTGGTTTGGGGAATTTTGCAATATTGGGCCCGTAAAAACAGTAAATGAAAAACAAAAATATTTTTTATTTTTCAATGTTACATAGACCAAATAGGAATTTTGGGGCACCAATCGCAAAAAATGTCCCCCTTCCCTTTCCTACCACTGTCATAACCACAAGGTTTTCTCTGGACCCTTTTTTTTTTAAAAGGGAAAAATACATTTCACCAGGAATACTGGTAAATATATAAATTTGTGGACTGTATATTAAAAATAATAAATGGTTATATATATATACACAATTACGTAACAGAAGAAAAATATATCTTAATATCACTCACCAATTTGACTGGAGATTAATGTGTATCATACTCAGAAAACCTCACTCTGACTAAATCTATGAAAATAATGCTGGCCAGAATTACACACAAATCTAGAGAGCTTATCTGAGGTTCCTGGAGCTGTCTTGTCCAGTCGTCTGATATCTCAAGTTATGCAGGAATACACATCCACTAATTTCGCCTCCTATTTGAGAGGTTTTAACACAATATAACCTCTAGAGCACGAAAAATTCTTCCCATTACACCAACGTTTGTACAAAATTCAAAACCAAGATGGCGAGTCTCCTGCCCAGATGCAGGCTTTCCGTTTTCTATGACAAATATTATTAAATACAGTATAGGCCATCTATTTACCTATAAATTACCGTATTTCCAGAAAATATATACAGTATTTTCCACAGACACTTTGTATTGTGCCAAAACAAAAGCATTCACATTGCTAAACTCACAAAATATGATGTAGTCACTTAGCCTTAATACCATAATCTGTAAGGATTTAATGTTAAGAATTAATCTAAGTTTGCTCGAAATACCTAGCCATGCTAGGTGTCCTAGTGGCCCCCTCTGTAATTAGTATTTTATAACATGTAAACCACACAATACCCAAAACCTGTAAACCCCACATTGTAACCCTTACAGAGAATAAACTTGAACTGAATTGAATTGAATTGAAAAACTGGACAGTTGAAGACTGGAATAACATCACCTGGTTTGACGAATCACGATTTCTGCTGCAACATATAGATGCGAATATCAGAATTTAATATAAACTTTTGGGATGTGGCAGAACGGGAGATTCGTAGCCGACAAATTTGCAGCAACTGCATAGGGGCTCTGGTGGCCTGGTGGCTAACGCTCTGGCTTCACATGGCGAGGGCCTGGGTTCGATTCCCAGCCAGAGTAGAAACATTGGACGTGTTTCTTTCCACCTGTTGTCTATGTTCCCCATCAGTAAAATGGGTACCTGGGTGTTAGTCGACTGGTGTGGGTCGCATCCCGGGACACTGACCTAATTTGCCCGAAATGCAGAGCATAACAAGGGAGTTTCTATATAGTAGTATGTCATTGTTGTCAGCTAGGACTGTATACCTTGTACATGTACTTGTAGTAAATAAAGATATTATTATTATTATAATGCAAACATAACATATATGCATAGCATTACGGGCTGAATCTCGATGAAATGTTACCGGTGGTCTGGTGGCTAAAGCTCCCGCTTCACACACGGAGGGCCCGGGTTCGATTCCCGGCGGGTGGAAACTCCGACACGTTTCCTTACACCTGTTGTCCTGTTCACCTAGCAGCAAATAGGTACCTGGGTGTTAGTCGACTGGTGTGGGTCGCATCCTGGGGGACAAGATTAAGGACCCCAATGGAAATAAGTTAGACAGTCCTCGATGACGAACTGACTTTCTTGGGTTATCCTGGGTGGCTAACCCTCCGGGGTTAAAAATCCGAACGAAATCTTATCTTATCTTATCTTACCTTGTTGTATCTATGTCAGTAGAAATTCAGGTTGTTCGGGGGCATATGGGGGGCTTACCCAATACTAGGAGAGTGTACCAAATAATGTGGCCACTGAGTGTATATGCTTCATACATTATATTAATTAACGTGAAGGGGCAGTGAATTTTCAAAGGTTCATTTGAGAGGCCGGTCATCTGTCATGGTGTTGAGGATATTTCTCTTTATTTATTTATTTATTTATTTATTTCCAATTTGTGCACACATACATCCATCTGCAGAATTATAAAATACGTTCATTTTTCTTCATTTGCCCAGATTTAGGCAGAAATTTACTCTCTAATAAAGGGGATGGGGGAATAATATCCGCCTATATAAATATACTATATAACCATGGTAACTGCATGAACATCATGTAGGGAGTGACGGCTCAGTCTGTGGTGACAACAAAGACGACAACAACACTGCCAACACGACCAGTTTTTTTGACGACACTTGCAAAACTCTTCATCAAGTGACCTGTTTTTAGTTGCTTTTACTATTGTAAAGTCTGTAATAACAGATGTTCGACAAACAAATTTGACAAGATAAGTTAAATAGCTCGCAAATGACTGTGAATTGACCAGAAGTAGACTCCAGTTCACAGTTTTACTGAAGATGAATGCTGCTGTTAAGTCTGTTCTTGTCCACAGTCGCCAGAGTTCTTCTCTAATTATTGGTCTGTGTATTGGCATTGCCTTGAGTCTTATCCGCACACCATTCATAGGTGACGACTGTGATAAGTCCCTGTCACCTGACCTCTTCAGTGGTGAACGTTTGGGCAAGTTAAGAGACTTAAGGAGCGATGGAATGTCAAATTATGATGACTATGAACCTCGCCTCGTGCTTGATAACTACAATAAGGAAGTAGTCATGAAACCATCAAAGTCTGAGAAGTTACTGCGGCCTAGGTACTATACCACAGAACTGGGGATCCGTGACAAACTCCTCGTGGCAGTCTTATCCTCAAGGAAGAGTATTGGCTCTTTTGGAATTGCTCTTAATAAAACATTAAACCATCATGTGGACAAACTCATATTCTTCATAGATGGCATTGGTTCCAAAAAATTGGGTTTAAATATTCCAATTGTGGGTTTTAAAGATGAAAAGCCACTCATTAAAGTATTCAGAGTGCTCTCCTACTTGCATGAAAATTATCTGAATGAGTTTGATTACTTTTTTGTTGTATCAGACCATACATACATTCATGGCAGGAAGCTATACAAAATGGTGCAAAGAATCAGTATCAGTGAGAATGTTCACATGGGGATGCTGATGGATAATCCTGAGTCACTCTATTGCTCTATTGGTAAGTTTTTACTAAGAAGATAATCTATTGTTTCAGATACAAAAATTTTATTCTTAAGATAAAGTCCTTAAATATTGGTAACTTTATATAATTTTAAGTCTTTTAATAAACTGTAACTGTATATGGTACTTAAATATACTTAAAGAACTTAAATAAAAGGAAAAGAGATACAGATATATCTTTGATAAGATAAGATAAGATAAGATTTCGATCGGATTTTTAACCCTGGAGGGCTAGCCACCCAGGATAACCCAAGAAAGTCAGTGCGTCATCAAGGACTGTCTAACTTATTTCCATTGGGGTCCTTAATCTTGTCCCCCAGGATGCGACCCACACCAGTCGACTAACACCCAGGTACCTATTTGCTGCTAGGTGAACAGGACAACAGGTGTAAGGAAACGTGTCGAAATGTTTCCACCCGCCGGAAATCGAACCCGGGCCCTCTGTGTGTGAAGCGGGAGCTTTAGCCACCAAGCCACCGGGCCATAATGCAGCTAAACTCCTCTGAAAGGTAGTGGGGACAACAGTCAAGACTTCTCATATCCCCACTGAAGCATCAACTTCCATCTTCTACCCAGCTGCAAATTTCCTAAACATTATATCTAGCTCCAACTAATATTATTTAAGTCACTTTGATAGTAAAGTCACTGAAAAACAAGCAGAAAACTTAGCTGATTTTCTAATGTACAAAACTGCAGCTGTTGTGCTATCACCCAATGTTGCAACATTGCTCAACAAATTATTAGAAACAACAACTTTCCAAACAATATGTAAGATAGCAAGGGTTACTTCAACTCAGAATGGAGATCCAACCAATGTAAATAACTATTGGTCAATAATTAACTTCCCAGTGGAAAAGCTAATTCAAAAGCTAATTTTTTCATAGTGTCCCACAAATTACTTAACCTTTCCAGTTTTGTGTTAGGTCAGGAAAAATAAAAATGACCCAATTTATAAAAATGCTTGACTTAATTAATGCAACTCTCGAAAATAACAAATATCCAGTGGGCCTCTTCATAGACATTAGGGAAACTTTTGATACAGTAGACCATGACATAAAGATAAATACTTAATATTGACAAGACCTTCTACATGATGTTTGACAACAGCTGCAAGTGTGCAACTAATGGTTAATGATTCACACATTATAAAACAAAATGAGGGAAAATTCTTAGCTTTGTGCCTCAGACAGTTTTACTTATTCTGTACTATTCTCTATTTTATCCTCACTTCACATATGGTATTTGTGCCTTTGGCTCTAGTATTGCAAAGCACCTAAACCCAATAAAAACTCAACAAAAAACTGCTGTTCGAATGATTGTACAAGCAAGCACTAGACAACACACTTCCCCCAGTCCCAGACCAGGCCTCCTGGAAGATCAAGGCTCAATCAACCAAGCTGTCACTGCTGGCCTGGCCACATTCGGTCTACTACCCAGCCGGTCAGGCACCAATTTGAGGAACTTGCCCAGTTCCCTCTTGAAGACTGCCAGTGGTGCATTGGTAACCTCCCTTATGCATAGAGAGGGAGGGTACTGAAGAGTTGGGACCTCTGGCACTCATTGAGCTCTCTCTTAGTGAACTCATCATGCCTCTGCTTTTCAGTGAGAGGTAATTTGCACCATCTGCCAAAATTCTTGCCATATGGAGTGATTTTGGTGTTCAGGTTTGGGACCAGTCCCTCCAGGACTTTCCAAGTGAAAATTATGTACTCTTCTTGCCTGTGTACCAAACAAACAAAAAACATACATTGTATTTCTTTGTACAGCTTAAAAATGTTGTTTACATGTAATAAAATATTGTTAAACACAAGTGACTTCAATATAAGCCTCATCCATGAACACGACCCACAAGTAACTGAATTCACTAACACTCTGAGCAACTGCTTGCTCCTACCATCTATAACTAAACCAACAAGAATCTCCAAAACAAGTGCCTTATTGCTTGACCATATCTGGACCAATGCCATATCCCCAGATAACATATCACAGATAACACCACAGACCACTATCCCACCTTTCTCATAACAATCTTATGTAAATTGCCACAGAACACAAGATCTCATTCCAACCACATGATGAATCATCAATAAATAATTTTATTTCAGCATTAAGTAACACTGGCTGGCAGAGTGAGCTAGCAGCCAGCCTCAATATTGATGAATGTGTCAAAAATTATCTACAAAAAGCCCAAAACCTCTATAACAGGCATTGTCCAATAAAAACAAGGCAGATCACAGCCAAAAGATTAAACAACCCCTGGCTTACAAACAGCATCCTCAAATCCATTGACATAGCATCTATTTGAAAAATAGTACAGAATGGGTGGTCAACCAACAAAGGAACAGACAACGTTACTTGTCAGCACTTACTAATCTAATAAGAAGGTCTAAAAAAATGTATTATGAAAACAGATTTATGGCATAAAAGGGGATATGAAAAAGACCTGGAATACCCTCTCTGAAATTCTAGGATCTAGAAAACTGCCTCAAAACGGTCCAAGCAGATCTACGTTCACATATGTAGTGCTACAAAAGTAGATCTATGTTTTTTTTACATATTTTCAAATATAACAAAAAAAATAGATCAAAGTTTTTTACATATTTTCAAATCTAAAAAACACAAAATGAAGATCTACTTTTTTTACATACTTTCAAATGTTGAAAAAACGTATATATACGTTTGGACCGTTTACGGGTTAATGAAACCAGAGGAACCTCTCATCTGTCTTTTTCTTGACTGTAGGAACAACACTTGCAAGCAAAATCCCAAAGCCAAAAGACTAACTCACTGGTAACTACCCAAATTCTCTATTCCTAGCCCCAACAAACCTTACTGAAATCTCGCTCATTATCAAAACACTAAAGAACAAGGCAGGAGACCCAAATGGCATTCCTCCACTCATGTATAAAAAAGCTTCTCATGTGTTGTCGCCCATTATTGCAACTTTTTTTTTTTTTAACAAGTCCATTGAATCTTCAACCTTCCCATCTATACTCAAGACTGCAAGGGTTACCCCAATCTTCAGAGGTGGCAATCCAACTGATTTAACCCGTAAACGGTCCAAACGTATATATACATTTTTTCAACATTTGAAAGTATGTAAAAAAAGTAGACCTTCTTTTTGTTTTTTTACATTTGAAAATGTGTAAAAAACTTTGATCTACTTTTTTTTTGTTTGAAAATATGTAAAAAAAAAAGTAGATTTACTTTTGTAGCACTACACATGTGAACATAGATCTGCTTGGACCGTTTACGGGTTAAATAATTGTAGACCTATTTCAGTAAGGAAGCACCTCCGGAATTGCTGGTGGGGGGAAGCAGTATTACCCAAAATACCACCATTATTCAAGCAAAATGAGTGACAATGACAACCTCACATGGATAAACAAAAGTTGGCATGATGTGAAGTGGGATCTTGCTGCATGCCCACATTTCTACACACAAAATGGCCTGTTATATGCCCCATGCTCTTGCTCACTGATTATTTTTTAGCCACCATTTACAGTGCTAGTCACGGCATTATGCCGCCCTTCCCCCACACATGTACCAAAACATAAACACATACCATGAAAGATTATAATATATATATTTACACACTGAGGTTTTAATACTTGGTGCTGCGTCCTTTACGCTTAATCACGTCCCTCAGCTGCGTAGGAAGACTCACACAAATTCTTGAGGATTTGGGGAGGTACACTGGACCCCCGGATTACGACATTAATCCATTCCAGAGAGCGTGTCTTATACCAAATCTGTCATAATCCGAATTAATTTTCCCATATGAAATAATGGAAATCCAATTAATTCGTTCCAGACACCCAAAAGTATTAAAATAATTTTTTACATAAAACATACATTTCCCTACACAGAAAACAATGAGACATGCAGAATAAATAAATAATAAAATGACACTTATCTTTATTGAAGACTTATTGATGAGATGGGAGGGGGGAGAGGATAGAGGTGTATTAGTGTTTGGAAGGGGAATCCCCTTCCATAAAGACTTCAGGCACCAAGTCCTTATCTGGGGTTACTTCCCTTCTTTGTTTTTTAATGCCACTAGGACCAGCTTCAGAGTAACTGGACCCCTGTCACACAAAATATCTGACCAGTGAGCTGTGTTTCTGGCATCTCTAAGATTTCCCTAAAATGGAACACAACATTGTCATTGTAGATGTTGCCAGCATGGCCTGCAACAGCTGTGTCAGGGTGATGTTCATACATAAATATTTGCACAAAAGAAAGCAGGAACACTGTAGCAGGCCTGTTGGCCCATACTAGGCAGGTCCTTCACAAACCATCCCACTAACATAATCGTATTTGCCCAACCCAATTTTCAATGCTCCCCAAGCAATAAGCTTTGATAATTCTATTCATTCATGTGCAAGTCCTAATCAAATCAAATCGTGTGTGTGGGGAAGTACCCTGGCTGGTTTATAGGGAAGTACCCTGGCTGGTGTGTGGGGAAGTACCCTGGCTGGTTTGTGGGAAAGCACCCTGGCAGGTTTGTGGGGAAGTACCCTGGCTGGTGTGTGGGGAAATACTCTGGCTGGTGTGTGAAGTACCCTGGCTGGTGTGTGGGGAAGTACCCTGGATGGTTTGTGGGGAAATACCCTGGGTGGTTTGTGGGGAAGTACACTGGGTGGTTTGTGGGGAAGTACCCTGGCTGGTTTGTGGGGAAGTACCCTGGCTGGTTTGTGGGGAAGTACCCTGGCTGGTTTGTGGGGAAGTACCCTGGCTGGTTTGTGGGGAAGTATCCTGGCTAGTTTGTGGGGAAGTACCCTGGCTAGTGTGTGGGGAAGTACCCTGGGGGGGTTGTGGGAAAGTACCCTGGCTGGTTTGTGGGGAAGTACCCTGGCTGGTTTGTGGGGAAATACCCTGGCTGGTTTGTGGGGGAAGTACCCTGGCTGGTGTGTGGGGAAGTACCCTGGCTGGTTTGTGGGAAAGTACCCTGACAGGTTTGTGGGGAAGTACCCTGGCTGGTGTGTGGGGAAATACTCTGGCTGGTGTATGAAGAAGTACCCTGGCTGGTGTGTGGGGAAGTACTCTGGCTGGTTTGTGGGGAAGTACCCTGGCTGGTTTGTGGGGAAGTACCCTGGCTGGTGTGTGGGGAAGTACCCTGGCTAGTGTGTGGGGAAGTATCCTGGCTGGTTTGTGGGGAAGTACCCTGGCTGGTTTTGTGGGGAAGTACACTGGCTGGTTTGTGGGGAAGTACCCTGGGTGGTTTGTGGGGAAGTACCCTGGGTGGTTTGTGGGAAGTACCCTTTCTGGTTTGTGGGGAAGTACCCTGGCTGGTTTGTGGGGAAGTACCCTGGCTGGTTTGTGGGGAAGTACCCTGGCTGGTTTGTGGGGAAGTACCCTGGCTGGTTTGTGGGGAAGTACCCTGGCTGGTTTGTGGGGAAGTGCCCTGGCTGGTGTGTGGGGAAGTACCTTGGCTGGTTTGTGGGGAAGTATCCTGGAAGTGCCCTCTACCACCACCATTTTTGTATCTTTCTACAAACTTTTTTTTGAATTCTATAGTGTTTCTCACCCTCTTTACCACAGGGCTGGCACTAGAAGCTTTCTTTGGGCACATGGTGGCTTATTTAGCAGTCACAAGCACTAAAAACAATGGAATAATACACAATAACTCCAGGTAGTTATACTGGTTTATATACTGGTTTTGGGAATCACAATGAGTTCACCAACACTGATTACTGAAACACCCCCAAACCACAAGCGAGTTTGGGTGTTTGGTGGTCTCACAGGTGTAGCGTAGGTCTAGCGGGTCACTACCTCTGGGCCAGTACACATCCCCCATGGTTACAGGTGATGGTGAAGGTTGCTTCATCACTCCAAAGTACTTCAGACCACTGTTGAGGATTCCAGTGAAGATATTTCTTTGCCTAATCCAGCCTACGTTTCTTCTGTGGCTTGGAGAGGATTGGTTTCTTAACCTGGTGCTGACTACTGTAGCCTAGCTTTGACACATGTCTGTTAACAGCTCTTACAGACATCTCTGAGAGAAGATGTGGGCTCTTTTCTTTCAATTCTCTAGCAGTTATCTTAGGTATACTCTCTAACTGCTTCTTTAATACAGTTAAAGTACAAACAGATGTCTTCTTTGAGGGGCCAGGCCGAGGTTTGGCAGATGGTAACTCGACACCGCCACCAGCCTTGAAACGCCTCACCCAGTTCCTCACTGAACTCTCACACACACCAACGTTCTTCACTATTTCTTTCGTCTGGTGCCCAGCTTTGTGAAGCCCTATGATTTGAGCTATAGTTTCAGGTGTTAAAAACTTCCTTTTACCCATAATCAAACATTATACCCCCAAAACAAAAGGGGACACCAGACAAAAGATGGGGCAGATGAGAGACAAAAGTGCAACACTTACTCTCACCACGGCATCCACATGAGCACTGAGGAGTCACTGTGGAGTGTGGCGGCAGGCCATGACGTCATGCTAACGGCTGCTACCTGGCATAATGCAGTAACGAAAAAAGACCCCCTTTGATTTTTGTCACAGCATTGTGCCAGGGTGCTCACCCAGCATAATGCTGTGACTAGCACTGTATATATAATGCATCAAATTTTTGGCCATAAAGCAATTTTGTATAACTTTGATATCTTTCAGAAAAAAAAGTTCAAAGTAAGAGAGTTAAGAATATTTTTATAAAATCATGAACTTTATAGGTACTGTATTTCTTTAGCATTTTTGTCTCTCTCTCGGGACATTTTTTTTTTCTTTTTTTTCTAACACTGCAAAATCTCTGAGGCCAATCATTACATTCAGTCTGTGTGATTTATAGTCAAACCAATAGAGGAACTCTTCAGCATCATATTAGGACCAATCAGAGTCCTGTATAACCCTCTTGGGCTGGCTGGGAAAAGCATACAAGAAGTTTTCTCAAAAAGCTTGAGAAGTCAAAGTGCTCCTCGTATTTAGGACAACCCTGCCTAACACAATGGAGGCAAGTTCATAAAAGTTGTGAATTTTTCCAGCCACAATACTGTAGCTTTTATTCTTCATAGAGCCACAATCTTTCATCAGAGATTCCACGAACTACTTCCCTATTTTTCATGCTAATTTGAGCCCCTTCACTGTATTAAGGATAACGTGACAGGGAATACGTACTTAGGTTTAGTGCTAATATAAGTGAAGTCAGGAAAACGGTAGAGGAACTTTATGTAAAATGTGCCGCAAAAGAGTAAATCCCATACCTGATTCTTGGAATGACATATGATTAACCACACAAGCAGGCTTGTGTGAGTGTGTTAAACTGAATTGAGTGGAGAGAAGTGATTTTTACCATATGATTTGTTGTTGGAGTTTGAGCAAAGTAACATTTCTGAAAGGATTCTGAGAAACCAGTTAGCTGACTTGAGTACTGGAGGTGAGAAATACAGTACCTGCACTCTTGAGGAAAGAGGTGAGGATGTTGCTATTCAGAGGATCATCTGAACTGTGATATTAGCATGCTTTTGACAAAACAGTGATTGAATGAATGATGATGAATGTGTTTCTTTCTTTTCTGGTCACTCTATGTCAGTAGGAGATGGCTGGTGTGTTACAAATAATGATGATATAATAATAATAATGATATTATTATTATTATTAATTATTATTGTAATTATATTCCTTATTGTGCAAAATATTTCTGGTAATCTTGCCATGGGATTTTCTTTTTTTACATTTCTTCCATATTGCAGATTCTGGTATTGTTCTTAGCCATTCTGTACTGAAAGCAGTGGGTGCGAAGCTAAGCTGGTGCACACGCAATACTTACTCTGAAGCTGACACAGACAATCTCGGTCGATGCATCCTTCATGCAACTGACAAGCCTTGTGTGTCTAGTCTGCAGGTATTATATATGTACCATATATTTTTCTACATACATTAGGAGATTAACAGTTGTTAACAGACTTGTATTCAAAGCTTATCTTGTAAAGATATCAAAAATTGGCAAAGGATCATATTTTAAACCATGTGAATTAATGCACTTCTTTGTGTGATATTTTAAGCTTTAAATAAAGTAAATTAATAATGAAATTGTGGGAAGTGTAGTAATTAATATAATATATCAATATATGCATTATCTAAGATATTTAAAAAAAATCTGCTCAGGGTCAAGAATACACTACTTACCGGCTGCGGGATGATGTTGATGTTGTGTCCCACTTGCAACTGATAGGTGGAAGTTCCCTTGTTCGAGAGGCTGTGACAGTCTCCAATGTGCCAGAAGCTAATGATGTGTTTACCCTTCACATGTTTTATCTTCAAGTAAGGTCATAATGAAAATTCTTTTGTATACAGTAGACCATCATTTAACCCGTAAACAGTCCAAACGTATATATATGTTCACTACCCCAGTGCCCTGAATATTTTGAAAAATAAAAAATAATTTTAATGAAAATAAAGAGCACATTTTTCTAAGTGTTATAGGATTAGAATAAAAAAACATAGGGTCGGTACTTACTGAGATATGAGGCTGCAAAGTTGGCACTTAATGCTCACCTAACAGCAACATAGAGTCCTGCCGCTTGTAGAAGTGTTGCCGATATATAATTTTTTCTCATTTTTATATTAGATAATTTTTATGTTCTGATAATTACAATTTATTGTAGTTCTTGTCATTTCATAACTAATCTTTGTTCTGACACTAATATTAGGTACTGAAATTGTACTCAAATTGTCACAAACACATTGACATGTGGACATTTACACCTGCCTTGGTCATTTACTATTGTCTAGGAATATATACAAAGTATTTATAGGTCCCAGCAATGTTTTGGATACACGGTAGTATAGAAGAAGAAGAAGGAAGGAGGAGGAGGAAGAAGGAAGAAATTCCCTTGAAGCAATGTGTAAAACAAGTGTTCAGTAAGAAGCAGAGATAAGAGGAGAGAAGCTATGACATTTGATGGGTGCCAGCGAGGGTGCAGGGATTAGGGATGACATTTGATGAGCTCATATTTCTGATTATCTGTCTCTCTCTCTTATTTGTCTGTCTGCTTCTCTCTTTCTGTCTCTCTGCTTGTCTCTCTGTCTGTCTCAGAGAGAGCCACTGTGAACCAACAGGTATTCTTATGCATTACATCTACAAGCACAGTATAGCACTTCGGATTTTTTAGGTTATGCTAGGTAATTTACACTAATTTTATTTGTGTGTACCTGTGAGACAAACAGAGATAGACAGAAATAGTCAGAGACAGATAGACAAACCCTAAACTTGGGGTTATCACTTTCCTCTTAAAAGGGGAGTGTTAATATGACATTACATCAGTGAATCCTTGGTGTTTGCCCCACTGTTTGGTCTAGCTGGCGCTCAGTATAACTGGCACTCCTACAAGGTACTAAGTGGTCCCAGATTTTTTTTAATATGGTGCACACCGAGTGTTAAGACCCATTCTTTGCTGACCAGGCATCTCAGGCCAATCGTGCCAAATTTGGAGGCAGGAAAAATAAAATGCACATTTACGTTTGAGGCACTAGCGGTAAGAACATATATATATAGGTTTGGCCCATTTACGGGTTAACAAGGTAGTCACGTTCCTGAAAACGCTGTGTTAGGTAAAATCGTGTTAGGTGAACTGAAGAACTTATGGAAAAAATAAGGTTATGTTCCTGGGAGCCCCCAAAAAGCCAAACAACTTTTTTTTAGACCAACAGATCTTACAAAAATAAAAGTGAATATGTAATTGTAGTTCATTTTCGTGATGTATTATGTGGTTTTCACTGCTTAAGATTACAAATGCAACAGAAATAATAGTATTTCTTACCTTAAATTGTGGGTGCTGGTGTCTGTGGATGATTGTGGAGAGCGGAGAGTTATGCTGTGGCCCTACTGGGCTGAGGTGGATGGTAGAGGTTCTGGCACTAAAGTCGATGGTTGTACTCGAGTGTGCATAAATTCTGTAATGGATTTCTGTTCTATTTTGCCCCGCAGTACAATATACAACTGACTGTAAGGCATCCGCTGCTCTAGACACCGTTTCAGGGTCCTCTTCAATGAAAAAGTCTAACTTAAAATCAGTCAGTAAATCAGTCAAGTCAGTAAGTCAGTCAGTTCAGTAAGTCAGTTAAGCCAGTAAGTCAGTCAAGTCAGTAAGGCAGTAGGTGAATTCAGTAAGTCAGTCAAGTAACTCAGTCAGTCAAAGTCAGTAAGTAAGTCAGTCAGTCAAGTCAGTCAGTCAGTCAGTCGGGGGTGGCAGGGGATGGCAGGAGGTCTCCCCCACTGACCCACAACAAGGCAGCAGCTTGAGCTGGGGAAATTTTTTCCATGCCTGTAAACGGATCTGTGTAAAGTTAATTTTATGAAGTGTTGTAAAAAATTGTGCCGCAATTTTTCAATCGTGCTATAACCAATATAACCTATAGCCAAATCCAGTCATTTCTGGAATGGAACCACAGTCGATGGCCTCCACTCCAAACCAACGGATACAGATACTAATGCCGGAAAAAAAAGTCCCCCCCCCCAGTACCACCAATACCACCAGTCCGATGACATTCTTCTTTGCAAATATACAGCGTCTAAAGCCAGCAACGAACAACAAAATACTACCTTTCATCTGTGGACTGCTTGCAGAGGCAAATGCAATGTTCACGGCTTTCACTGAGACCCACATAAAGGATCACTTGGACAACGAAATATGGATCTCAGGCTACAAATTATACAGATGTGACAGAGTGAACAGGCAAAAGGGGAGGGTTCGCCTGTATATTGCAGAGTCACTTGTTTACACAGAAATGCTTAATGCCTCAAATGATGTAGTGGAAGTTTTAGCAGTAAAGATCGAGAACCAAATCCTAGTTATTGTGGTAGTCTACAAGCCTCCGGATGCAACGTCCCAGCAATTCCAGGAACAGCTGTCAAAAATTGACCACTGTCTGGAAAATCTGCCAGCTCCTGCCCCCAACATTTTGCTCCTGGGGGATTTCAGCTTGAGGAACCTAAAATGGAGGAATATAGCAAATAATGTTGTTGCAGTGATAACACCAGGAGAGAGCTCTGACGAGAACTCACACACACACGAGCTTTTAAATCTCTGCACAAAATTCACTTTAAACCAGCAAATAATAGAGCCTACTAGACTGGAGAATACACTAGACCTCATCTTCACTAACAGTGATGGTCTGATACGAAATGTCACCATATCAAAAACAATATACTCAGATCACAACATAATCGAGGTTCAGACATGTATGCGTGGAGCCCCAGACCAACAAAATGAGATTAGTCACAAGGGAGCCTTCACCAAATTCAACTTCAATAACAAGAACATAATGTGGGACCAAGTAAATCAAGTCCTAAACGATATAAGCTGGGAAGATAGACTAAGCAACACAGACCCCAACTTATGCCTAGAAGAGATAAACTTGGTGGCACTCAATATATGCTCAAGGATTATTCCTTTAAGAAAAAGGAGGAGAAGATGTAAAATAGAAAGAGACAGGCCCTCCCTTTACAGGCGATGGAAAAGAGTAACAGAGTGGCTAAAAGAGGCCAATATATCTGAAATGCGTATGGAGTCACTGGTCAGAGAAATAGCAAAAATCAAACTTAAGCTAAAGGAATCTTATAGGAGTCAGGAATCATGGGAAAAAATAAAAGCCATAAATAAAATCGAAAGAAACCCAAAGTATTTCTTTTCTTATGCCAAATCAAAGTCGAGAACAACATCCAGTATTGGGCCCCTACTTAAACAAGATGGGTCCTACACAGATAACAGCAAGGAAACGAGTGAGCTACTCAAGTCCCATATGACTTAGTTTTTAGCAAGCCGCTAACCAGACTGAGAGTCGAAGATCAAAATGAATTTTTTATGAGAGAGCCACAGAATTTGGTTAACACAAGCCTATCTTATATTATCCTGACGCCAAATGACTTCGAATGGGCGATAAATGACATGCCCATGCACTTTGCCCCAGGGCCACACTCATGGAACTCCATGTTCATCAAGAACTGCAAGAAGCCCCTATCACGAGCTTTTACCATCCTATGGAGAGGGAGCATGGACACGGGGGCCGTCTCACAGTTACTAAAAACAACAGACATAGCCCCACTCCACAAAGGGGGCAGTAAAGCAATAGCAAAGAACTACAGACCGATAGCACTAACATCCCATATCATAAAAATCTTTGAAAGGGTCCTAAGAAGCAAGATCACCACCCATCTAGAAACCCATCAGTTACACAACCCAGGGCAACATGGGTTTAGAGCAGGTCGCTCCTGTCTGTCTCAGCTACTGGATCACTACGACAAGGTTCTAGATGCACTAGAAGACAAAAAGAATGCAGATGTAATATATACAGATTTTGCAAAAGCCTTCGACAAGTGTGACCATGGCGTAATAGTGCACAAAATGCGTGCTAAAGGAATAACAGGAAAAGTTGGTAGATGGATCTATAATTTCCTCACAAACAGAGCACAAAGAGCAGTAGTCAACAGAGTAAAGTCTGAGGCGGCTACGGTGAAAAGCTCTGTTCATCAAGGCACAGTACTCGCTCCCATCTTGTTTCTCATCCTTATATCTGACATAGACAAGGATGTCAGCCACAGCACCGTGTCTTCCTTTGCAGATGACACCCGAATCTGCATGACAGTGTCTTCCATTGCAGACACTGCATGCCTCCAGGCGGACATCAACCAAATCTTTCAGTGGGCTGCAGAAAACAATATGACGTTCAATGATGAGAAATTTCAGTTACTCAGATATGGTAAACATGAGGAAATTAAAACTTCATCAGAGTACAAAACGCATTCCTTCCACAAAATAGAGCGAAAAACCAACGTCAAAGACCTGGGAGTGATCATGTTGGAGGATCTCACCTTCAAGGACCATAACATTGTATCAATTGCATCTGCTAGAAAAATCACAGGATGGATAATGAGAACCTTCAAAACTAGGGATGCCAAGTCCATGATGACACTCTTCAGGTCTCTTGTTCTATCTAGGCTGGAATATTGCTGCACGCTAACAGCACCTTTCAAGGCAGGTGAAATTGCTGACCTAGAAAATGTACAGAGAACCTTCATGGCACGCATAACTGAGATAAAACACCTCAATTACTGGGAGCTCTTGAAGTTCCTGAACCTGTACTCCCTGGAATGCAGGCGGGAGAGATACATGATTATATGCACCTGGAAAATCCTAGAGGGACTAGTACCGAACTTGCACACGAAAATCACTCACAGTGAAAGCAAAAGACTCGGCAGATGATGCAACATCCCCCAATGAAAAGCATGGGTGTCACTAGCACGTTAAGAGACAATACAATAAGTGTCAGGGGCCTGAAACTGTTCAACTGCCTCCCAGCATACATAAGGGGGATTACCAATAGACCCCTGGCAGTCTTCAAGCTGGCACTGGACAAGCACCTAAAGTCAGTACCTGACCAGCCAGGCTGTGGCTCATACGTTGGATTGCGTGCAGGCAGCAGTAACAGCCTGGTTGATCAGGCTCTGATCCACCAGGAGGCCTGGTCACAGACTGGGCCGCGGGGGCGTTGACCCCCGGAACTCTCTCCAGGTAAACTCCAGGTAACCAAATCATGCCAAATATGTAAACTTGTGTTAAATGATGGTCTACTGTATATAGTAGCATATAATAATATGATGTTATTTAATAATCGTAGACAGCATATATAGAACTGGCAATTAAGTAGCACTCAAGCATTACACACACAAAAAAAATAATTCAACACTTGGTGGTGAAATAAGCAACTGGAAATTGCTGGAAGTAATCATTAATTTTTTACTTAACAGGTTGATGTGAGACATGTTAATAAGAGTATTCAGGAATTTAGAGAAGAAATACAAACTGCAAAACCATTTGCACCAATAATCAAGAGAGAAGATACATGGCCTGTTGGGACAGCACCAGCACATTTTCCTGCTACAAGGTGACTAATAAATATTTTGTATGCTTAGTATAAAAATGATTTTAATCTACTGTATGCCACTGTTCACAAAGAAATAATTTTTTTTTCAGTTTTCTTTTACATATTTATTCTGTACAGTACATAAGAACATAAGAATGGAGGAACACTGCAGAAAGCCTACTGGCCCATACAAGGCAGGTCCTTATCAAAACGACCCCTACTCATAGCTCCCCAAGAATATCCTCCCGTACTAAATGACACCGGTCAAATCCAGCCCCTCCCACTCATATATTTGTCCAGTCTCTTTTTAAAGCCACCCAAGGTCCTAGCCTTGATCACTCTACTCGGGAGATTATTCCACACATCCACAGCTCTGTTAGAAAACCAGTACTTACCTATGTTCTTTCTAAATCTAAATTTATCCAACTTAAATCCATTATTTCTGGTTCTTACCTGCTTCGACACCCTCAGTACTTTATTAATATCACCTTTGTTTATTCCCATCATCCACTTACACACTTCAATGATATCTCCCCTCATTTTACGTCTCTCCAGAGAGTGGAGATTCAAGTCTCTAAGTCTGTCTTCATATGGGAGATTCCTTACACAGTAAATAATTTTAGACATTCTTCTTTATATGTTCTCCAGTGAGTCTATATCCATCCTGTAGTAAGGAGACCAACTAAGCGGCATAATCTAAATGAGGCCTCACTAGTGATGTATAGAGCTTTAAAATATCTTTTGGACTTCTGTTACTTATACTTCTTGAAATAAATCCTAGTAGTCTGTTAACCTTGTTGCGCACACTTAGGCACTGCTGTCTTGAGTTTTAGATTTCTTCTTACCAGTATATGGTTATCAGTCTTCTCTCTCACTATTACTATCTTACACTGGATCATATCCATAGCTATTTTATTAATCTCTCTTTGTAATTCATATTTGTTTTTAGTTCTTTTATTCATTTTGTTCCACTCTTAGGCATTGCCATATTTTGTTTACCATATTTGTTCCTTTAAGTGCAGACACCATACTGAGTTTAGCAACAGTATAGATTGCCATAAACATTTATTCCCAATAATTTCTTTAGCCCTAGGTAGTAGGTTGGTAAACAGCAACCGCCCAGGGAGGTACTACCGTCCTGCCAAGTGAGTGTACAACGAAAACCCGTAATTGTTTTACATGATGGTAGGATTGCTGGTGTCTTTTGTCTGTCTCATAAACATGCAAGATTTCAGGTATGTCTTGCTACTTCTACTTGCACTTAGGTCACACTACACATACATGTACAAGCATATATATACACACCCCTCTGGGTATTCTTCTATTTTCTTTCTAGTTCTTGTTCTTGTTTATTTCCTCTTATCTCCATGGGGAAGTGGAACAGAATTCTTCCTCCGTAAGCCATGCGTGTTGTAAGAGGCGACTAAAATGCCGGGAGCAAGGGGCTAGTAACCCCTTCTCCCGTATAAATTACTAAATTTAAAAGAGAAACTTTTGTTTTTCTTTTTGGGCCACCCTGCCTTGGTGGGATATGGCCGGTGTGTTGAAAGAAAAGAAATTTCTTTAGCATTTCCCTACCCATGCACCATATTTGTAAGCTATTGTATCTTAAATTTGCAAGCATTGCACCAAGGCATGGAATTTTCTCACTACTCTTCTGCAGTTATATGGTTTTCTGGTGATAATTTTTTATTTATAATCACCCCAAGATCTTTCTCCTTTTAAAAAATTGTCCATTTCTCAAAAAGCAAGGTACAGTGGACCCCCGCATAACGATTTTAATCCGTGCAAGAGAGGTAATTGTTATGCGAAATAATCGGTATGTGAATGAATTTTCCCCATAAGAAATAATGGAAATAAAATTAATCCGTGCAAGACACCCAAAAGTATGAAAAAAAAAATTTTTTACCACATGAAATATACATTTTCCCACACACAAAGAGAAGGATACATGCACAATAGTAGAGTAGTACATGCACAGTATATATTGTGCATGTACTAGTCTACTAAATGAAGAATAAATGACACTTACCTTTATTGAAGATGCAGCAATGACTGATGAGACACTGTGTCCTGGGAGTGCCTTTTCCTCCTGAGTACTGTAGGTCCTGTTTGGCATTTTCTTCCAGAACAGGCCTTATCACACTGTGTATGCCACTACGATTCTTAAGTCTCTCAAACCAACCTTTGCTGGCTTTAAATTCACCAATACGAGCACTAGTTCCAGGCATTTTTCCCTGTTCACCTGGGTGTTAGTCGACTTGTGTGGGTTGCATCCTGGGAGACAAGATTAAGGACCCCAATGGAAATAAGTTAGACAGTCTTCGATGACACTGACTTTTTTGGGTTATCCTGGGTGGAAAATCCTCTGGGGTTAATTGTTTCTTGGTATTCTCAATAAGCCACACCAACAACGGTGCTACAGCAGCAGCAGCAGCTGATGGTGGTACAGCAGCAACAGACGATGCTACAGCAGCAGCAGACGACGCTACAGCAGCAACAGACGATGTTACAGCAGCAGCAGACGATGCTACAGCAGCAGCAGACGATGCTACAGCAGCAACAAACGATGTTACAGCAGCAGCAGACGATGCTACAGCAGCAGCAGCAGCAGCTGACGGTGGTACAGCAGCAACAGACGATGCTACAGCAGCAACAGACGATGTTACAGCAGCAGCAGACGATGCTACAGCAGCAGCAGCAGCTGACGGTGGTACAGCAGCAACAGACGATGCTACAGCAGCAACAGACGATGTTACAGCAGCAGCAGACGATGCTACAGCAGCAGCAGCAGCTGACGGTGGTACAGCAGCAACAGACGATGCTACAGCAGCAACAGACGATGTTACAGCAGCAGCAGACGATGCTACAGCAGCAGCAGCAGCTGACGGTGGTACAGCAGCAACAGACGACGCTACAGCAGCAACAGACGATGTTACAGCAGCAGCAGACGATGCTACAGCAGCAGCAGCAGCTGACAGTGCAGCAGCAGCAGCAGCTGTACCACCAATAGTAGCGATGGTTGATTGGGGTTTATTATACAACCTGGCCAGCTCGGAGACACGCACTCCACTTTCATACTTATCAATGATCTTTTTCTTCATCTCTATTGTAATTCTCACCCTTATTGCTGTAGGGTTGGCACTAGAAGCTTTCTTGGGGCCCATGGTCACTTATTTTCCAGAAAAAGCACCGAAAACACTGTAATAATACGAAATATTCCGATTGTATGCTTGGATGTTACCGCGGAGGCTGGCTGGTAAACAATGCCACCGGCGGAACATGTGAGCGTGGCTCAGGCCGCACATTGGACGCGTCTCGGACGAAAATCGGTGAGCGGGTTTTTAAGCGGTATGTGAGGCAAAATTTTGGCGATTAAAGCAAGCGGTATGCGGATTAATCGCTTTGTGATGCCATCGGTATGCGGGGGTCCACTGTAATTTCAAGAAGAAAATACAAAATTTCCTTTTTTTTCTTTAGTAATTAAACCCGTAAACGGTCCAAACGTATATATACGTTTTTTTCAAGGTTTGATAGTATGTAAAAAAAGTAGATCATCTTTTTTTTTTTACATTTGAAAACGTGTAAAAAACTTTGATCTACGTTTTTTTCTTTTTTGTTATATTTGAAAATATGTAAAAAAAAAGTAGATCTACTTTTGGAGCACTACGCATGTGAATGTAGATCTGCTTGGACTGTTTACGGGTTAAAGGAATAAAATCAATAGAAACAGAAAGCAAAGATGTCAGTTGAATGTATGCAGATTTTTGTAAGGTTTGCCTGTCATCTTAAATGTTCTTTACGGAAACAAATGACCAGCCATTTGCCAGGGTACAAAATGTTTAACAGGCTTACGTTTTACACTCATTTGACAGGACGATAATATTTATCTCCGTGGATGGTTCTTCTAAACCAGAAGTGTCATTTTATTTTTAAATGTAGCCACAGATATGGCAATTGAGAAGTGAAATTCACCACACTATAAAGTTGAGAAAATGGGTTGCTCAGTGAAACTTTAAGGAATATAATATGCTGTTTGAATAAGTTTATTCAAAGTATGTAAATTTTGACTATTCATTTACAACTACCTAAGACTCAAAAAATGAAGCAAATTGTTAAAATTGAAAAAATGAGAAAATTTAATGTAATATTTGACACTTCTTTTGTCTGACACGTTGCAAAATTGTTGACTGAATATCTGAGCTCAATGCAGGTTTTATCTCAGCCTCTAAATTGACATCAGCAATTCAAGATTTGTAGTTTGACTTAATGAATCTCATCATTGACAGTGTTGATTCACACATCCATGTTGATCCAAAGGTAGACAGTAATTTTAAGTTACCTGATTCCAAAGTTGGGAGATTCTTGTCAATCAGACTTTATTCCCACATCTCTGTGACAGAAGAATTTTTCATAAGATGGAATACAGGATGTCAAGTTGCAACCAGCATATGACATCAGGAAAAGCTTTGTTATATTTTATTATTTGAGCTAAAATATAATAAACTCAAATTTGCTACACTTTCATGACCAATTTGCCACTTGTGGCAATTGGAGACAGGATTGCCCACTCTAACTCTGTACCAGCCAACTGCAATACTGTACTTTAAGTCCTTCTCCTTACCATACATCATGGTGCTATTGCTACACCTTCTTGGCTTATTCAGATTTTCCTGCAGAGGTTCATTTATTTCGATATTTTACATTGCATACATATTTTTGCATTTTCTGTAGAAATGTTTATCTTTCTTTCTTCTTTCTTTCAACAAACCAGCCGTATCCCACCAAGGCAGGGTGGCCCAAAAAGAAAAACAAAAGTTTCTCTTTTCAAATTTAGTAATTTATACAGGAGAAGGGGTTACTAGCCCCTTGCTCCCGGCATTTTAGTCGCTTCTTACAACACGCATGGCTTACGGAGGAAGAATTCTGTTCCACTTCCCCATGGAGATGAAAGGAAATAAACAAGAACAAGAACTAGAAAGAAAATAGCAAAAAACCCAAAGGGGTGTGTATATATATGC